ATTTTATAAGTTTTTTTCTCAACTTTTAACTTCCTTTTTAGGTAAGATTAAAAGCAGTATGAATAAGTGGATTTTTTTTGTCTTCTGGTTAATACATGCACGTACATTCTGATGTACATGAAAGTGTTGGCTACCAGAATAAAGGTTTCAGCACTGTGGCTCATCATTTAGAGCCTTTGGGATGTGTGAAGTTTGTTAAGCATTCTGTATTCAGTTTGCATTTGTAAGGTTGAAATCTAATACGTCCTGCTTGTTCTTGGCCCTGCTGAAAGAACATACGGTGGAGGAGTGCCCTCTGCTGGCCGACTGTCACTCACAGTTCTCTAACCAGTGTGAAACGGAGAGGTTTTCTAGAAGGCATGCTCAAGTGGTTGGGCTCTGGGATCTTGGCAGGCCTCCTACTATCGGATTACAAACCCTTTAGGTCAAGTCTTAGGGGAATTGTCACAAATAGGCTTGCACTCCCCTAGTTTCTGTACTCGGCTGCTTTTCCCCCTATCTGTAGCACTTTGCTTTCCAATGCTCTTTTCTTGACTGGCTACTTACACTTTGGTAGAAGGTGAGGTAGGTGTGGACTGAGCATATGAACTGAGTAAAGCTTTTGTGCTTTCACCTGCTGTCTTTGGCAGTTAAGTACCCTGCTAAAGTCATTTAAATTTACTGATAGGTGATGTTGACAGATGCACAAAATGAATATAAATTGGATATGTGTATGGTAGCATTTTGAATCTTTGTACAAGAGGAGCATGTTCTACTTGAAGTGACCATACTGCAGAAGCCTTGGACTAGATGAAGTCACCATTTTGGATTTTTTTTATTTTTGTTGTTGGGGTTTTTCGTTTGTTTTATTTTGTTTGTTGTTGTTTGTTTTTCATTTTTATTTTGTCCCAACATTTTCCTTTATAGTCCACCATTAGATATTGATCAGTTGAAGCTCATTTTAAGACTCGTTGGAACCCCAGGGGCTGAGCTTTTGAAGAAAATCTCCTCAGAGTCTGTGAGTTGATGCTTTGATTGTAATTATCTGCCCGGTTAGGAACCTAAGTTCCACTTTACTTCTGCCACATGCCTTCCATCACTCTGTGCTTTGACTTGGGTATGTTTGCAAGCACATGTGCCTATTGTGTACTGACTTCTGGGATGGGGTATAAATGTGTGTGTGTGCGCATGTGTGTACAAGTATGTTTTATTCTCTCTCTCAATCTGTCTGGGTATGTACTTAATCATGGGAGCTTCTAATGGGCAATAGTATCCCAGTAAAACAATGAGATTTGAAATCAATTCATTCCAAGAGATTAATGAAGAATTTGATTCTTTTTTCTCAAGCCCTGACTTCATCTTTTCTCAGAAGTCTCACATATACTCAAGAGCTCTTTGACTTTTTGGGTAGTGTTTGTTCCCAGAGTGCAAGCTCTACCATGTATTAGTCTAGCTTCATCCCTAGAAGAATGAAGTGTGCTTTGTCTACATGCTGTTGCCCTTCTCCCAAAGTTAGTTACTTATTTTTTAGAATAGACAACTCACACATCCCGCATAAGGTGTCTATTCCTAACAAATACATGGGGCTCCCAAAGGGATAACTCTCTACTCGGTTCTCAGACCACTCAGAGGAAACACTCTCAGTCCTGACACCTCAGAGCCATGGGAGTATGGTTGTAAATCCTTTTTCCCACAGCTTTCCTTTGTAATTCCACGTTGAATAACCTGAGACAAGGCTTTGGGAGCTAGTGCTTTCCTGCTTCTCAGCAGGGACTTAAAGAGAAGCCATGGGAACGTGACTCTGCTTACTTTGGCTATGATTTCCTGCTTTTGGTCATTTTCTCGGGCCAGAGACGTGAGAGAAGCCATGAAAGCCCAGTCTTTCTCCCTTTTCCCCTCTATTCCTGCCACAACCCATGGCTGCTACCATACAGTTGGATAAAAGGGAAAAGGAGCTGTTGAGCCAAGCTCCAGTTGTGCCTTCCTGGATTCTCCTCCCAACATTTCAGACTGAAGGGGCCACTTTGCCCGGTGGGAAGACTGCTGGGTAGCTTCAGGCAGGCATGAGCAGGTGAGTTTGAACTGTTCATTGTCTCCTTGACAAAATAAAGAATACCATCATCTGGTACGTATTTGGTATATTCCTTAAAATAACAACACAATCCTGTGTATTTCTCAATTTTTACTCTGAGGGATTTGCTAGACCTATTTTTTTTTTTTTTTTCATTTATTTGATTAAGATGAGGAAGCAAAAGCACAGAAGGCTGTGGCTTGCCTGAGTCATGCACTGAGAGTCACTTAGCAGAGCTGAGTATAGATCCCAGATGTTCTGATAACATGATCTAAACTATAATCTCAAGCAATTGCACACTACTTTGAAATGTGCTATTGACCATGATGTCAGCCTGAAAGAGTGTTTTCTTTTGCTTTATGAAATGCAGAAGCTGGATTAGAGTGAATCAAAGAAGATATGAGATGATGCTTAGAGAGGACAGGGCCTTTTTTTTTTAATGCAGTTTGCTTAGAAAGATTGGCTAGTAGAGAGGACATGGGGGCAGGGATAGGGGCCTGTGCCGGAGCTCAGTTAATTAATGAATAGTGCTAATGAGACCGAGACAGCAAATTCTTTCCTTGTCTTGCAGTGACTACCAGCAGCTCTTTCTCAGTCCCCTCTCCCATCCCCCAACCATCTGTCCTGTAAATATATGCTGTTAGTTACAGGAAGTTCTAAAATAAAAAAAGTATGGGCAAAATAGTATTTATCTCTCATTAATCCATCGTTTGTTTTTAAGAAAAAAATAACACTGGATGCCCGGCATAGTAATGCTGTGTCTTTATCTTATGTGAGATGGGGCACATCATACATCTTGACTGCTATATATATATCTTGATGCTATAGAGTTGGGCATAGTGAGATTGAGCACCAGAATACAGAACTTACTCAAATAATACTGTGTTGAGGGTAGGTATAATTAGAAAGGTTTTTTTTTCCCTGTGTAGTTGTGGCAAGTGGATAAAAGTCTAAACGTTCAAAAGGGTAAAAACCAGAAACCAAGCCCATTGCCATGAAGTCGATTCCGACTCATGATAACACTAGTTGACACTGCCCAAGTAGCTGTTTATCTTAAATAGAAGAACATAATGCGTGATGCACACAGTGGAACAATAACAAAGCCAGGTGAGTGAAATCGTTCAAAGATTAATTTGGGGGGAAAAAGCATTAATGAAGGAATGTAGTAAACAGAGAAAGCCAATAGCTGTTTTCATTACTTCTGAAAAGTAGTGAAGTAGTGATGCCAACACATACTGTAAAACTTCAGTCAATAAATAGGAGATTCTGAGTAAGAGAAGATGATAACTGATGCGCTGACTCAGAGCAGTCTAGGATGTACCATAGGAAAGGAGGTATGCGTCATGATGGGTGTCAAAGGATAGAGCTTTTTTGTCTGGTGATCCAGTAACTATAGTATCAGTGAAAGATGAAAAAATCATATTAAGAAAGCATAAGCTCTTTCACTGACTTCTCTCACAATTTTCTTTAGAAATATATTCTTCCTAACCTCCTGGTAAGAAGGGGCTATAATAACCTATTTGACTAAAGGAGACAAAAATAGAAAATATACAGGCAAAGTATTCCCAGAAAGGAAGGGAGAAAGTGGCAGGATTTTGACATTTCTGCTCTTGACTTTTACTTAGTGGCCCCTTCTGTTATTTCTCTTGGCAGGCAAAGTACTGTTTGTTATGTAACTTGTTTAAAGGTAAATCTAAACTTTGTTATGAGAATGTTAAAAGAACTTCATGCCCCTCTAACCTTAGGCTTAGGGAGCGTGAAAGACAGGGTGGTACACTTGGCCTCAGCTCTTTTCCTGATGACAGCCTTAAATGCACATCAGCAGTAATCTAACCATTAGGAAGTTTGAGTTCAGAGGATGAGCAAACATGGAAAGATTATTGAGGGAAACAACAAAGAAGTGAAATTACTTGACCACAGTGCTTGTTGAAAATAATACCACAGCTGAAGGAACTAAATTAATAGTTAACAAGGAAAGGAATAGAAAAGGGGCTCACTGAAGTATTTTCAAGAAGTGTTTTTAAAAAATTCCCATCACTTCTGCTTTTAGTAGGAGCACATGATCAACATAGTTCTCATAGTATTTGTGGAGGGGGGAATTGTGTTAACATTGATGGACAGTTAAAAGAGGGAAGTTTAGAATATGACAACTTATACATGTGCTTGTACATGTGGAAGACCTCTAGTTCTACTCTTGTCAGATTTTTGCTGAGTGTTTTTGCAAACTTCCTCCCAGGTATTTGTTAGGTGAAATTAGTTTATTCACCTGTTAAAGAGGTTTCTGGGAGAAATCATTGTGGCATGCTATAATGCTTGTCAGCAGCCTGTGACTTCTATTTTGTCTTTGCCATTGGACTCTAATTTCCCCCCACATCCCTTTTCTCCACTTAACCATTGTGTGTCTGTGGCATGTATTTTAAATGTAGTACTACTAATGTTTTTGAAACTTGGCATTGCTTGTCTACCCACACACCCACCTATGTCTTACATTTGGAGGCCTGTGCCACAAAAATTTAGTCTCTTCCTTGAATGGATATATTGGATATTTTGTCCAACATTAAGTCAAAATTTTCTGCATCATCTACATTTATCCCACATTTAAGGTTTTGGCCATTGGTACTTGAAAGTAGTTTTCTGGCTGGCATCCTGAATCAAGGGGCAGTCTATTTCCAGGAAGTCTAAAATATTTAATGTTGATGCTAAAACTGAAGGAAATTAATTTTCCTTATCTGCATGGCCAGTCATTGGCTACATGCCTGATAACACTCATGCTATTCATGGAAGCATTGCTTTAACATGGAGCCTTGGGCTCTGGCCGGGGGTGTGTGGGGTGTGTCGGGGAGTATGGGGTTGTTTGTTTTGGCGTGGCTTTTTGGCCTTTTTAAAAACTTAAGTTGAAAGTTATTTTTTGCACTCTGTGTTTAACAATGCCCTTGACTAGGCATCTAAGATATTAACCAGCTTCAGCAGATTATGCGTCTGACGGGGACACCCCCTGCTTATCTCATTAACAGGATGCCAAGCCATGAGGTGAGAACAAGTAGACTGTACAGGGGTGTCTAATTCAAAAGGCCACATTCACATTTTATTGCCACTGTATAACTGACAGTATTTAATGTCACTGAATGCTTGCATGTGCCTTGAGGGATACTAAGGCAATGCCTGCCTATATGCTATTGCAAGATGTTGACATTTGGGATAGAATGTCATCAAATCCTGTGGATTGAGAATATAACTTTTAGGCTTGTAAATAGAAAATGGTGTTACTTCTTATATTTGGATTTTATGAATTCAGAGCTCAAGAAGCTGTTTCTTCCTAGGTATATGCCTGCAGTTAGGGTTATGCTACCATCTGATGAACTTCAGCTGGAGGTGTAGTTAGCTGAAAGCCATTAGCATGTTTTTCTATTCAAACATTTTTTAAATGAGCAAAATAGGATTCTTCATTTAAAAAAAAAACTGTGAAATATCCAACACTAGTAAGTACTGTATTCAAAAGAAAACATACAAATAATAAAGAACAAATATGAATACTTACTTAGATAGGGCTAGGTGCCTTCTTTACCAGTTCTTAACTACTTAATCTAACTCTAGTTTTATCATTAGAGATGTTTGGAGCACTGCTTTCTAAGTCATTCTTAATCTTTTTGGGGACTTCGTACCAGGTTGGCAACACAAGGGCCCTTCCCAGCACCTTTTTCTCCTACTTCAGCTATATTCAGGTAGTCTTTTTATTTATCTTTATTGGAGGGGTGACTGCTCTCTGGATGAGACAGGTGTCTCCTCCTCTGTTTTCCCTTCATCCTTTTACCTACATGCTCAATGGAAAGGGATTACATCCATATATATATTAAATTCCTAGAACTTTCTTCTCAAATCGGAAAGATTCTCAGCTGTGTTTTAAAGCTGACCTCTTCCACTTGCTCCGCATACAATGAGTAATAAGATAAAGTTGCCAGAACTTTTTTAACTGTGTGTGAGAGATAGCGAGAATAAATAAAGGTGATGATCATGAATACATATACACACATACATACCTTTACTGTTATATTAAAACGAGAATTTTAAGGAAATGGTTAAGATAGATTCAAAGAAATTTTATCTCAACTACTCAGATGGACTGATAGTGGGATTTATTCTTTGAAACAGGGAAGGCCATAGATACAATTTACTACCTAACTAATATCTGAAACATATAATTATGAGTTAACATTTCTACTTACTATTCTCAACACCAATTTTTTTTTTTTTTATTATACTTCAGGTGAAGGCTTACAGAACAAATAGTTTCTCATGAAACAGTAGTACACATATTGTTTTATGACATTGGCTAACAACCCCACAACATGTCAACCCTCTC